AAATGAGTACTTACTTTGTTTCAGGCACTCTTTTAAGTGAGTGACCTAATTTTTTCCTCTCAATCACATAGGAAGTGGATATTATTGAACAGATGAGAACATTGAGACACAGTGACTTTGCAAGATTACACTGCTGTCTTTGACAGACAGAAATTAAACTTACAATTTGACCCTGAAGCCAGGGTCTTGCAACACTACATTATACCTCTTTACTTAGACTATGTGCTTCATTTAAGATCTCCAGAGACCTACTGACAGAGCACCAAGTTAAAAAGTACATTGTTCTAAATACAGACATAAAATCAAGCATAGGTTCCATATTTCCAGTGCTATCATATATTCATAATATACAACAACTTCCTGGAAATAACTCTATTTTAGTTCTGGGTGCCAAGGTTCTATTTGTACAATACCTAAGAGCAATTATTAATAATCTATTGTGAATCCTCTCTTAGATTCCAAATGGCATCTGGGTTTCTAGAGAAAAACAAAAATATCTTTCACATTTCTCAGTAAATTTCCTTCTGGAAGGTTAACTGTTTGTTACATAATTAAAGGACACTTTCCTACAAGACTCATCAGTCATAAACCCAAATGTTCCAGGGAGAATTTTGACAAACTAGCTTTGAAACTTATTATTCTTTGAATAATTCATGTTCTGAATTACTTACTGTCTCATACAAAAAGAGTCCTCCAAAGAGGTTTGAATCTGGGCCAGAATATGTAACAACAGTGTACAGAACCTTGCAGAGTAAAGTGTACCTCTTAACTCATAGTTTTGTTTTGTTCTGTTTTTTTCAAAAATCTATGTCTATTGCTAATAATGTTTCCTTTCATTTTTGTGCTAGTTTTTCTAGTAAGTATGAATCCAAGAAAAAATTTTTCAATATTTAAACTTGAAAGAAAACAAAGCTTTCTACTTAGTTGTCCCTTATCTGACCTATCACCACTTTCATTTGTTTAGGGAGTCTGTTGGATTTTCAAAACCAGTTGTGGTATCACAAGAGTAGCTATGCCTTGGTGCACCTAAAATAGTCCTGGTTTATATCTATTGTTTTGTTATAATTATTAAGAGTAGACCCTTTTATTATCATAAATGTTCAATGTTGGGTGAACAATTTTATGTTCACCCTACATATGACTCTATTACATCAGAAAATTAATATTTTTCTTTACTCACAGGGCAAAGGTCCATTTGACTACAAATGGTCTAAATATGTGTCTCAATTTTGAACCTTGTTTTAGTGGTTGGAACCAAACAACTTTAAGTGATAAAGCAAGTGAAAATATCAATATAAAGCAAATAAATGTAAGCTAAAATTTTGCAGGGCTTGGCATTGTATAAATCTACAATGAACCTGTTTTCTCAAATTATAATGAGCAGTGATGTTTTACAATGATAAGAATGATTTATTTAAAAAACACAAAACCTAATAAACTATATTCAATACCTAGTTAAGACAAAGTGGAAATTGGTCCTTATCCATAGGGGATAGAAAAATCTGGATTTTGAGTTCATGAGAATTCCCACAGTAGATTTACAAGTAGATATATACTTAGGGAAGAGGTGGCTTGTCTTATGACACTTTCAAAAGTCTGATTGTTCCCCTTTGATGGCAAGCCTTATTATCAAATCTATCTAAGAAGTCTTGTCTGATGTGGTCCCATCTCAGCTGTTCATAAGTATTCTGGAAGCCCTGTTCAAATCTCTTATTTTTGGATTATCAAAAGTATTAAAATTATTAGCTTCTTATATATTAATTACCCATCATAGTATGAGACCAGGGATTTGTCTTGCTCTACTTTTACATCCCCCTTACATTGTCTAGTTTCTTCACTTCTGTGAATAAATAAGTAAATAAAAGAATGAATAAACAATGAAGATACAGTAGCTTTTCACAAATTACTGTATGATTCTGAATTGGGAGTAAAATAAGTCAGTTCTCCTGGATACACTCCTGGGAAAAGACAAAAGCAGGATATTATAATGCAGCGGCAGTTGCTTGTTCTCAGCTCCTTGAATAAATCAGCCTAAATAGAAAACACTAGTACCTTGTTGAAATTGGTGTGATACAGGCAGCAAGGAAGATACTATCTAAAGGGAACTTCAATGTGAAAAATTATAGTCTTTTCTATCCCCAGTGTGGAGAGCCTGAACCACTTTGAAATTTCTTTTAATCCAAAATGTTCCTGTCATATGACTGTGAATAGGCTGTAAATATCACTATAGATTTTTGTAATTTAAAATATCTACTATGATTCCTTTCTTGTAAACAAGCAGTCACAATCAACAATTTTTAAAAACCCTATGTATAGATATTTTATTCAGCATATAATATTTTTCTATAATGTACAATACCAGTTAATTCTAGGAGTACAATTGGGAATTGGAGGGACAGATTTTTAGTTTTTCCTTTTATTTATTGACTTTAAAAGATGGAAAATCAGAGTTATTGTTGATTTTTGCAGTATTTAAAAACTGTAATTCTTGAATAATTATTACTTTTAATTAATCAATCTATAATGAAATTAATGAATGCTATCACAACTAGTACACCCAAAACAAAGCAAACAAAAAATTACTTGGTGTAGTTAAAATACCACCAAAGTTTATAGGACAATTGTATTTTCTTTTTGGGAAAAAAATGATTAGACGACATATAATGTAAGTTACTTCACAAAGTAAATTCTTAAAATAAATAATAGGGAATAAATTGAGGTTTAAAAAGTGAAATAAATAATGAATTCTTCTCATGGTCTAGTATGTTGTTAAAAATTGAAAACTTTTGAAGACCCTCTTTTGTCCCAAGAATTTCTTTTATAGGTATTGAATTTCTCAAAAGATATAAAGTGAATTTTATTGATAAATTGGTCTTTCCAATTATTCATTTAACATAAAAGCATGTTCTCATAATCATAAATCTAGATTTTTTTATATTTTAATTTTGAATAATGCCATTCCATTTCCTGTATAATTTGCTATCATAGCATGAATCACTCTTTTGTTGAAAACTCTACTTAGAATTTCTTGGGAGAGGAATTGCACAGAAAATTAATTTCCTATTTGAGAGAATTCTTAGAATTTAAATGGTCCCATTGGTTGAACTGAAACCACAAAATTAGCATTTTACTAATCATTAGGTTTAAATATCTGTGAAGCAAAGAGAACTGCCATCACCTTGATCATCAACCCAGCTTGCTGCTTCTTCCCCGTCTTAGGTTCAAGGTATTATGTTTACATATAGCAAAATTACTATGATTTACTCTGTCTAATCTTTCTTTCATTCTTCCCTAATATGCATTTTTAACTCTTCTATGTGATTGCAAGTATTAATACTTTCCTATGATAAACTGGTAGCTTAAAAATGCATTTGTGAATGTTGACACCATCCATCTCAGAGCTTTAGGTGAAAAATCAAATAGTTTTATAAAGACCAAATAATTTTTTGATTATGATTTGAATAAATTTTCATATATTGAAAAAGTAGATACATAATTTCAATATAGACTTGTGGTGAAGTAATTTGAATTACTTTTTCCAAATTCTGTGAAAAGTTGTTATGCAGAATAATTTATAATATTTTTAATTATCATAGTGAAGATCAATTCTGGTAGAATATTTCAAAACCATTTTTATTCTATGTCATTAGGTTAATAAAATTAATTTTATAAAGGATACATCAATGATAGACAATTAGATATAAAAGACTGCTTTTGTAAAGATAGTTAAATTAAGATACTAGGAAGGATACAAATGGATGAAAAAAGAAAATGTATTTTGGGCTTATAAATATGTCTTCTTTACTAATGCAGGTAGATTCCACAGTTTGTAAACTGAAACAGTATATATAAAATAAGCTGGTATTAGTTTGTTGACTAAGGTATAAACAAATTTCATGTATAATCTGATATTTTTCCTAATTTATCTGGAACCCATTTTTCCAGCACATATAAATGTAAGTATTTCTGGGTTCTTGTAATCTGATGGAACTGTAGAAGTCAAACCTGATAAGATATCTGAATCTTACGATTCTGTTCAGTTCAATCACCTTCATACAGTCATGTCATAGATATATCAGTGTAGCAAAACATAAAGTAATAACCAGATTCTTTTTTAAAAAATTGATGGAGGTTAATGGTTTCTACATAATGCACCTACAGTGTTTTTCATTGAAGACTCTAAAAGAGCAGGATGATTTTAAAAAGACTTAAAGGAGGGCTTTCTTGGTGACGCAGTGGTTGGGAATCCACCTGCCAATGCGGGGGACACGGGTTTGGGCCCTGGTCTGGGAGGATCCCACATGCTGCGGAGCAGCTGGGCCCGTGTGCCACAACTGCTGAGCCTGCGCTCTGGAGCCCGCGAGCCACAACTACTGAGCCTGCACACCTAGAGCCTGTGCTCTGCAACGAGAGAAGGCACTGCAGTTAGAGGCCTGTGCACTGCAGTGGGGAGGAGTCCCCGCTCGCCAAAACTAAAGAAAGCCCGCATGCAGCAACAAGGACCCAATGCAGCCAAAAATAAATAAATTTAAAAAAAAAAGACTTAAAGGAGAAAGACATTTTCAAAAAATTTCAGATAAAATTAAATGCCATTTCCTAGTGGATTTTAGTTTATTATCAATTTTAGCAAGTCTGATGATCTAAGAAGATTTAAAAAATTTTTTTAATTGTAGTATTTTAAAAGTCAGTAGTATTTAAATGATGATGCTTCTCTATTCCTCTGACAAAACCCTATTACTACTTCCAGGATCAAATGCTTTGTTTTAAAGTATAGTAGATTGTTATCTCTTATCTCATATAAGCACTAAGCAAGATAATTTGAATGATAAATATTTATATTGAATAGCAAAATTAAACACTAAATGAATAAAAATACTACTTCTCAAATGAAACTACTTTTATCATAATATATTCCTCTGTTGGAAAATCAAGGATTTTTATTTTCATGAATCAAATTTTATTATAAGACCTGATGCTTTTTATTCTGTTTTCTTCCGTAGGTCTTGACAACCATGAAACTTCTCATCCTTACCTTCCTTGTGACTGCTGCTCTTGCCAGGCCTGTGAGTACAGTAGAAAATTTAGAAGGTTCTAGATTCTTGTTTGAAATCACTGGTATCTCATCAAACACATGACATTGAGGATAATAATCTTAAAGAATTGGATGGTCTCTAATTAGCTATTGAAGTCTTGATCGTAAAATTATGGTAATACTTCACATTTTGATGATTATTATGTAGTTCATTCAAAGCCTTAACTCCAAATAGAATCTCTGGCTTGAAATAAAAACACCTCACAATAAAAAAATTAAAACTAAAAAGTAAAAAGAAGAAGAAATAAGGGATTGAACAACATACTAAAGAGTATCAAAGAATGTTATTAGGCTCTTTGCCTGGGTCCATTACAGAATTAACATATTTGTAAACATATGTGTCCAATATTTTCTTACCAAATATACCGTTAAGCCACATATTCCAGTGTATCTTACTCTTGGAGCCTAAGTCAAACCCTCATGTGAGATGGCTCATGCCAACCAATATTTCCCAAGATATAGAAAACTGGGCTCATTCTGCTGATTCAGAGATCAAATTGCTTGGTCCCTGTAGACAGTAAAACTAGATAATGTAAAGTAAAATAACCTTTCTTCTCAAAAATAAAAGGAAAAGGTTCTGTTACTTATGTGAAGCAAAAAGTTATTCTGTTCCCTTGTGATGTGTAGCTAGTGAGGGTGAAATAAATGAACAGGAATCACCTGACAGGAAAACAGTTTAAATAAGGTAATAGTCTTGGATATTTGGACATTGAAACTATCAAATATAGGTGCAAAAGTTTCTGAAATGCTGAGATATTCTATTGATGAGACTCTTATTTTCTAAGTCTGTGATTGGATCACTAATACCCAGCTTCTTAATCAATATTCTGTCTGTGCTGCACCCTAAGCACCAATAGAAAGAAGTATCTGACAACAAGTTACAAAAAAACACAGATCCAAGTTCTTCAGATATGTGTCATTGGAGTAGTCCATATCTTCTCCTTTTACAAATGAAATGGGTATAGGTTCCCCAGAAAACAGATTCTATAATCTTATTCCAAAGAAAACATCATTTTTAATGCTTCAATTTAACAAACAAAAATCTTGTTCACACAGTTAAAATTCAGATTGAGTTAAATTTTTATATAATATAATTGATGATAAAAATAAAATCCAGACAGACAAACAATATTTAATTAGTAAAAGCATACATTATTCTTCAAATATTTATCATGACTTAAAGTCACCTTTAAAACTACCATATAATATAAATAGTTCAGAAAATGTAATAATACCTTTATCATTCTGGATTAATTCACACTAATTCAGGTTTTTGTTTTCTTCCATCTTTTTACATAGTTTTCTCAATTCTCCACCATACTCTAAAGAGAGAAGATAATTTACTTTTCTTTGAGTTTTGTCAGTAAAATCATTGTTTTATTCCTCCTAGGGAAACTTGGTGTCAGAAAAATTTAGATATTAAAATACAGACTTTTCTTAAATAGCAATGTTAAATGTATAGTATTATATGTGTATCGTGATATTATTATTATTGTATTTTGATTGCTTTTTGTTTTACAATTCTTGCATTTTTTTCATAGAAACATCCTCTCAGGCACCGAGAACTCTTTCAAGTGAGTGCTCTATTCTATGTTCCAAGAACTCACTCTAATTGTGACACTCAAGTGATGATGGATTGGTAATACATAGACTCTAGTTCCGTTCCTCCCTTCTCTAGAAAACATCCAGTTTCACATTCACTGAGCTGTAATATCTTCAAGTATTGAACTGAATATAGATCTGCTCTCACAAACGTTTTTAGAGAGGAGGGTACATGGACTTACATATTTATGATTCATAATATTACTCAAGAGAAGTAGTTAATTAAACAGAATATGTTACCGTGGTTTATTTTAATGTATTATTGCTTCTTTCTGTGTCTTCTACTTGCACTCAAACATATGATTTGCAATTTGGTCTCATTTTACACACTGAATATTAAGTTACATACCTCTACCACACCTTTCTACAAGAACCATTAATCCTCCACTCTATCCACTGGTTGAATTAATGCCTTTTAACTTATTTTTTATTCTTTGCAGAATGAACCAGATAGCAGAGAGGTAAGGTTCTTTCTTTCCCCCAACTAATCTCTCTTTCAGTGAGTTATGATGAATGTTGAATGTCTTCGTCATTTCATTTTTTATTTACCTACAAGTTGTATCCAGGTACTCAGGTACTTGGATTAATCTCTCAATTCTCTGTTTTGATTACGTTCTTATTCAATTCCTCCTTTGACATTTGATAAGGATGAACTTACTAAACCTTTAGGCCTGGTAAAGAATGAACCAAATATGGTGTGGTGTCTCCTTTAGATTTTAAAACTAGATCATAAAACTAAAACTAATTATCTTTTATTTTACCTAAGAGATATTTTGGTTTACCTAAGCAAATGAGAAACTTGTGTTCAAATGGAAAAACATGCTCCTTTTTGGTGTGTGTTTTTCATTTTTATAATTCACAATTTAATTTCTACAGGCAGTCCTCAAAGAAAGAAAGTTTCTCAGGTTTGCTGTGGCGGTAAGCATCATCCACTTATTCTTCTGAAATGACGAACATATTTTTCTCGAAAAATAAACTTAATTTTTGTTATAAATATATTTTTCACTTGAGTTGATCAAACCTTTTCTTTTTTCACTCATCCAAGCACCCACAAAGAATATTGAAATTATATGTGCAAATATTAAAAAGCTGCTTTAAATGATAATTTGTACCTGTACTTTTGACTCTTTGCAAAACACTTATGCTTCCTTTTGCATAACCTATGTAGAGTTTTACAATTTTCATGCTCATTGTGTTGGAATGTTCTGTATCTCTAAACGATACCCTGTGTGTGTTTTATATATTATTTTCTGTAATTTTGTGACTGAATTGTCAAATAAAACACGAATAGAAATTTTACTTCAAGACCACTATTTAAAAGATTTGATAGGCAAACCAACTTTTTCTGAATGGTGTGTCACATAACTTTCCTTTTTTTTTGTAGCCTTTATTAGAACAGCTTAGAGAGGTAAGAAATTCTCCACAGAATATGCTATAAGTTAACAAAGGGAAGCAAGTTTTGTTCTGTCCAGTGAGTGTTGTGGTGGTGTGCCAATTCTTTATTGCCTTTTTATGGAAAAAAACACTAGATTATTGAATCAGACAGAAGAGATCAAGAGAACTCAGAGCTCTGACTTAAACAAGGTTAAAGATAGTAACAGTAAAATTTAATGGAACAAAATTTTAAAATATTTTTAAGTGAACATTTACATATTGACAGCTTAAATTTAAAAAGCTTAGCAATGAGACACAAGGCAAGGAATGATATAGCAAGAAATATTAATGCATTCACAAAAAAAAGCATATTTATTTTTTAATTTGCAGCAGAACAATGAAGGCACATTTTCTCATAGATATCCATTTATTTATGTCCCTCTTTACTAACGTTTCTCTCTTTTTTTCTATCCTTAAGGAAAACATCAATGAACTGAGCAGGGTAAGGAATATCAATGATATTTAAATTATTTTAAAATTTAGTTCTTTCAAAAATGCATTTTATAACCTACACTTTATTGGTTTCAACAGAGAGAACTTCTGAGAGAAAAGCAGAGTGACGAACTCAAGGTAACAAAAATTTTCTTAAGACAGTGTGTCAAAAAATGTATTCTGTAGTAGGAAAAATGTTTTAATTTAGAAAAAATGTTTTCCTGTGGCATTTATACATTCCTTGAACTTTCAAAATGACTAATGAATTCTACTGAGATTCTATATTGATTTTATTGATTTAACTTTGTAGCTAGGAGGAGACAAGACATTAGTATAAATGAATGAATGGATGAATGAGTGCAATTATGGACTGACCAACTGTTTGCACTTATCATCAAAACTGAATGAATGAATGGATTCATGAATGAATAATAAGAGTATTATATAAAGCAATATATCTGCTCCAAGAATGTTTTACATAGTCATGATTGTTCACTTTCTTTAAACATGATTTTTTGATCTGGGTTGTCTATCAGGTTTTTAATAGATTTGGTATTAAGAGACCACACAGGTACTCAAAATTTGTGAGATAAAATATATATCCTTTTAATTATCCTTCATAGCTGAATGATCATCTTTTCTTGGCAGGATACCAGGAATGGATCAACTGAAGTAAGATTCTTTATTTTAAAACTATTAAATATAATATAAAGAAAAGAAGGAAGTAAAAACATTTCCTTTAAATACCCTAACCAAAATAAATGAATAATTCTCTTAGGTCAAAACTAAGAAAGATATCTCTAATTCAAAGAAAAAAAAGATTCAACATATATGTTGGCCAGAATTAGCTGGATAACTAAACCAATACTAATACTTTGAGCTTAAATTCTATGGTTCATGTCACTGCTCTCTATATTGCTATGGTCATGAAAACTGAACACAACATACTAGATGGAGAAAATCCATTTTTCTTAAATATTTATACATTATTGAACGAATGCTTTGTGCACTTTTATTTACCACATGATCTTTAATCCAATGCTCTGTTTTGTCATCCAAAAGTCAAGTTAAAGAAAAAAAGATTAGGCTAGTTAAAGGAAAATGTAGGATTATTTACATAGATTTACCACTACATATAAGAAACTACAATAGTTTTTATTAAACTCTGAAATGCAGATTAAAGGGGTAAATTCTTTGGTTAGTCTGGTAGGTAGGCTTTTTTGTTTTCCTTATCACTTCACTATTGCCACACATTTCTATTTCCTTTGGCATCTATTTTATTTGGTAATTATCATTTTACATTTGAATGTTTGTCATGAAAAATAAAGTTAATTCTCTTTTCTTTTCTAAGGATTTCTTTTCTAAGGATGGCATGGAAGACCCTGAGGTAAGACCTTTATTTTAATAAACTCTGCGCTTATATATCATAGATAGTATACACTCTATGCTTTAAGAAAGCTATCTTCTCAAATCGAGCAAGATTGAACTTCTCAAACAGGGCTTTTATACCCAAGAATGTACAATGTTGAGCTAGATAAAGTTAAAATTAGAAGAGGAAATTTGTCATTTAAGTGATAATCAGGAAGAACATTGCTTATTTATTTTAAAAAAAGAGTAAAAAGCAAAATGTGCATAAGTGTTCAAAATGAAACATGAGACTCACAAAAATAAAACCCTGCTTCTGCCATCCCAGGGTATGAGCTCACTCTCGTAAGTTGAGGGCCGTCCTCGGCAGACAGAATCTATTTCAGCAATTACCTTGGATCAATGGGCTATGCTACCTAATCTAAAAATATGGGGAAAACTCTCCCAAAAGACAAATAGTTTGTTGCATGTTAAAATTAATATTTTACTATGTATTTGGGAACAAAACTTATATCCATATGTAAAGATAAACATCCATGACTTAGGAAAAAAACTAAATATTTCAAAGGGTAGATGGTTTAGAAGCTAGTGTAATTTTATTCCATACTGAAATTGGTTGTTCTATTTTAATATTTCCAATTTATTCGCATCAAAACTGCCCCAAGAGTATTAGAGAATAGAAACTCAACCCAGGGTTTCAGGCAAGCCTAGCTCAACAGGGCTCTTCCTTCCAGGTTTCATTTTTATCACAGAAATATATGCATTTGCATTCTACTCAAGCATGTATCTGTGTTTGTTTTAATAAAAAAATGTTTTTAAGTTATCAGGTAAGTTATTATACTCCCCTCTCCAACATATTTTAAATAAAATGGACAATCCAAGAATGTACATTATATTGGCCTTAAATCTTTTCATACCAATTGTTGTAATTCTAAACAAGGAGTTAGCAACCCAGCATGAAAGTGTGGAACTAGTTTCCTTCCAATTCTAAAAGTCACAGAGTCATGATTTTCTTTCTTTTAGCAAAGGGAATTTGGCAGCAGTTCATCAAGTGAGGTAAATCATTTTGATGTTCATTCAGTATCCCAATTAGAAAATGTTTATGAAAGCTTGTTGTACGATGAAGGTTACCTGTCCCCTAAAGTCTCATTGTACAAGACACTATGTATACAGCTCTATCCTAATTTTAACATACAAGGAGATCAACCCAACAAATGTAAGAAAGCAAATATTTGTCAGAAACAAAATTACAGAATTCTTTCTGGGCAAACAATACTATCTGTGTATCTTTGGTTCCCAAACTTTTTTTTTTCTAATATGTTTTGACCTTCCCAGATTTTGGTAGACCTAAGTCTTGTTAAAAATTGCAATAATGGCTATGCTTCTAAATCAATGATATAAACATGATATATCCTTTGTAGAAATCATTCAATTCTAGGTTAATCAGACACTGGAGTCCTTTGCTCTTTGTTAACCTGGAGGAGAAAAAGAGCAGGAATACAGGGTGATGAGGTCCTTCCTTTAACTTTGTGAGAAGACCTTCATCCAGGTTACAAAATAAACCCAACCCCATTATGTGGAGTTTCTGTGAGTTCGATAAAAGTGAATATTTCACATCCACCTCCAACATTCTGAATAACTTCCCTGGTGAAAGTGGTGAGAAGAGAAAAGAGAACCTTGAAGACGACATGTACCTTGAATTATTTATCTCTTCTAAGTTACCCAGGAATTTGTGGCTAAAATCAGTTTATCACAGTTAAGCAATGGAGTTTCTGGTTAATTGGTATTCTTACCTTGAATGTAAATTAATGTCATAAAACTAACAATGCATGTTTTTATTTTTTAAGGAAGTTGCTCCCAATAGAAATGAGGTGAGATATATTTAGTAAATTTAAAATATATTAACATTTTCTGGGATATGTTAAAATTTCCTTAAACATTTTTTTTAGCAGAAACACTTTCAAGGGGAAGATGTGCCCTCTGAATGCTATCTGGTAAAATTTTATTAAAAGTTTATCAAAGGCAAATGTACCAAGGAATGAATAAGAATCTTATATTGATAAATTATTTCTCCTTTTTAATATCTGCTAAACTTTAATACACAGTAAGCAGTCTAACAGACTCTAGATGTTTACTGATCCCTTCTGAAAATAAAAGTAACAACTTTTTTACCCCAGGTACTTAATTCATGCTTTCACTTGAATATTTGTGTGTTATAGTCTACTTTAGGATCTGAATAGCAGAGTATTGGAATGGCACTCTATAGATTTGGCCAGAATTGAGTTCGACTTTAAGCTCTACCTTTTACCAGCATGTGATGTTAGACAGTTTACTTGTCTGCTATAAGTCTATAATTTAATTCTAAAATGACAACACAATAATAAATATTTAATCATGTAAAGCAATTAATACAAGCAAGACATAGCACAAAGTAAGCACTCAGTAAATGTGGCTTGTATTAGAAACATCATCTTTTCCCACTTCATCTAATATTCTAACTTACTCTGCAAAAACCAGAAAGCAAAAGTCACTTTCAATTTTTTTAGCAATTCTGACATGACACACTGTAAGTGAAATTGCCTAAATACTCATTTATATCTTACTGCATTATAATTTATTTTAAGTTAAAAATAAGTTAAGAAAATAGTTTTTCTAAAGAAAGAATAATTGGATTAGTCCAAATTCTCTGTGGTAGAAATAACACTAAAGTAGGATTACTAGTTCCTCATTCTTTACTCCTGGGAAAGGGCACTTTAGTATTCTACCTTTATTACTTGAAAATGATGGAAGTGGACTGAATGGTATCCACAAAATTGACAATATTTTTTCTTTTTGAATAAAAACAGCTTCTCAGACTGGACAAATACAACCTACACCAGCTAGTAATATTTTATTATAATAATACAAAATAATATTCTGCAGAATTAAAATAATTAAATTTTAAATTGGGTCCACTTCTAAATATATAATTTTTTTTCAAGAAATTATTTATTCTAGCCTTGCCATTAATAATAATTGACAAATGATCCATATGATTGCCTATGTATTTACTGTCACAGCTATTTCTTTCTATTTATGCCAAAACTAATGTTGTATATCATATCCATAATTGTTAACCAGGGAGAAATTTACTTTGACTAAATTCTACATCAAATCCTCTTAGAGCCTCCCAGATGATGCATTATATTCAGGAATTTATTCTGTTTATTTTCCCAAATTCAGTTCTGGATGGTGATTCCATAGATATGCCTCCTTGTGAAAGCACTGATATGCCAAATAAACTTTCCATTTAAGGAAACAGTGTAGTCTCTGGAGAAGGAATCAGGAATCCTAAACATTCAAATTGCTTTTGTCAAAATTCTCTAAGGAAGAGCTGGCAAGTTGATTGATTTAATTGTCTCTGGACCTGTTTCCTTATGTGTGAAATGGAAATACAGTTATTCTCACTTCCTGGTGTTATTTTGAATATTGAATGAGCAATCTACTACTCAGCTATCCCCGAGTCTAGCTTTTAGCAAGTGCAATAAAATGTTCATTTCCACTTCTCCTGCCCCCACTCCCCAGTCTCTGTAAAATTTGCTGTGCTCATGCGATTTCTGACAACATTACGAAGGTCTTTCATCAGGATGTGCATTTGAACTATGACGTCATAAACTATCTGCTGATAGTATGGATAGATCAAAAACATATCAATTAGCACAACCCTCTCTTACTATTTAGCTTTGACTTTTTTGAGTATCATAGTCTTTCACTTGGGAGGCCAAAATTTTTTCTTTTAGTTATACAGCAAATAAACTTGACTTAATTAGGACTTTAGGGAAAAGGGCTTGTCTTAGTTTAGCAAAATTACATTTTCACATTTTCTTCTGTTACAAGTGTAAGGAGAAGGAAGTCAGTAATGAATTTAATTTGGACCTCAATTGTTACTCTTGTTTCAGTTTCCAAGTTGCTTGTGTTTATAGTCCAAATAAATTTAAATATATCAATACCCCACTGGAATGCATCATTACTGATTTAAGAAATTACCTGAATAATATATTTTAGTACCTTAGTTATGATATGACTAGGCTGTAACCTCCACAAGTGTTAGAACTACATGGTCCTGCTCATAGTGTTCATCGCATTTCATAGTTGGTCCCCAGTATTTAGCATAGACCCTAAGTGAATGAAGGTATCTAGTAAATGTCTGCTATTCGTACATGGATAAAATCAATACACTAAAACAAAATGTTCTCTCTTTCTTAGGAAGCTACTCATGATCATGTAAGATTATTTATTAAATCTGGAATATTTTAGTATTTTCTTCACACGTTATGCTTTTATAACATGTGCTCCTCTTTCTTTTTTTAAACAGAAATATATTCCAAGAGAGAAAATTTTCTACCACCCATATCTGGTAATATTTTATTTAAAATTTACCAAAGATAAAATTTAAACAAGTGATTAATAGTCATGAACAGAAAATACGTAGTCCTAGGGAATTGGTGAGTTATTATTTTCCCCCCGGGTATGAGCCTTATAGATTCTTTATTCTTCCAAACTATAGTAAGTCTAGCCTTTAGTTGAATAATTTTCCTAAAGTTAGAAAATAAAAAGTGTATTGCTATTTTTCATAGTTTTGACATAGAATACTGCTTATCCTAAATTTCATTGTATATTGTAAAATGAATGTGATGTACCAGAAGATGTCTAAGTAATTTGGAACATATTTCCTTCTACATAGGAACAACTTCACAGAACAAATGAGGAAGACCATGCCCAATTGGTAATATTTTGCTTAATAAATTACACAATGATATATTGTGAAGCTTAAATATGTTTGTTTTTAAATAGCCTCACACTTCTGAAGATATTTTTTTCTTCTCAGGCAGTTATTTCTCACTCCCAACTTTCTGAAATAATTTATATTAATCAATCTGAGAGAGGAGAACCACTTGTCACTCTTCTTTGGAATGGGAGCTGTCTGTTCTGTCTGTCTCACCTGATACGGGCAGCACATTTATAACTCTAAACATTATGAAGTGTTAGTTTCCATGGTTACATTAATTTCTCTCTTAAGATATTCCTTAATTTTATATCTTTATGTCCATGCTTTGATTCCTGAATTCAATTTACATTTAGGAAAGTCAAACTCACTGACAATTATGTTCTTTTAAGCAAGCCATATTGGAGATTTACTAGTTGACACATTTTGAAGAAACCATCTGGAGAGATATTAAATGTCTCTGTCAAAAAAACTTTCCAGTCCTGTTTTATCTCTCATCTGTGGCATGAGTTTATCTATAATACATAACAGAAACCATTTCTTCCCCTGCCCTACATTCCATTGATTCCATAGTGCTCCTGGGGCTTCTGATTTCGTTTTTAAGGTGACAGCCAGTTTCTGTGAAATATGTGCTGCTATTACAATTCTGATTCCTATCAACAGCTACACCAATTCCAATTCCAATCATGGAGCCCTTCAATCACTACTTGCCATTCAGTGAATCTTAAAAGAATTGTTGAGGATGTTTTATATGTCTTAGAAAAAATTGTATCTAGGTAATGCAATTGGCAAAATTATTAGGGTGAGTTCCCAGATCTCTATCATGAAAAGCATTTCAAAAAGTTTGCTTCTTACATCTTTGGTTTTATTCAGCCTTAAAAGTTAACCCTGATTCTCTTTTTCTTTCCAGAGAAAGCCTATGAGAGTAGTGAATCAGGTAAGTGTGTGTGTGTGTGCTTTATAATACTGCCTCAAACTGTCTATTAACAGTCTGTTTTTTGGAAATTATTGTACTAGTTGCATCATGAACTAGTGCTATGCTAGTATTTCTTAGTTGTTGATGAGTGTTGGACTCTCCAGTGCTGGTTCTAACATTGCTATGGAAGATCGGATCTAAGTTGCCAAGGAAAATGAAAGAATGATTCTATGGCCATTCCTGAGTGAAGATAGCTTCAGGTCAACTTTTAAGTCAGAACAACCTCAACCAACTATTCGTGTTGTTAAAATTTGACTTTTTATTAATCTATAGTACTGTGTAGTGAAAATAACTTGAGTTTTCAATCTTAGATCTGATACCTTCTAATCATATGACCTTGAGTAAACTGTGCTATTCTTTTTGAGCATTGCTTTTTCATTTGTGAAATTAGTATGGATCTATCAATTTATTTCTCCCCAAACTCCCATATCCTGATTTTTGCAGTGTTCTTTTGTGTCTTCACTTTTATAGGCAGTAACTGTGCATTCAATTCAGTTGCTTTTGTCCATTGATGCTTCAACATATATATGGCATGCTAAGTAAAAAAATAAAGCATGCAAAGAAAACCATGGAGTTTTCTCCATATGAACGTGATTATGGATTAAAAACTTTCCTCAAGATTCAAAACATAGTAGTCATCAATCAATTTTATGATAATGAAGATTCAAAACATAGTAGTCATCAATCAGTTTTATGATAATGATTCCTCACTGTACGTCAGATTTTACTCTCAAATTTCTTCCAAAATTCTCTCATCACTCACGGGCCAAAGTAAGAGGAAAGAAAAGGCAATTACTCACTTCATTTGAGCTCTAAGGAGTACACTATCTTCACCTTTCCATGTAATTAAAAAAAAAAAGAGAGTGATAATTATAATCTTAATGAAAGTATTTGGTAGTAATATTTTAGCCCATTATGGTATTTAACTGGATTTAAATCACAAAATTATTTTTACCTCTCTCTCTCTTAAGGAACTGGCCTACTTCTACCTTGAGGTAAATATATTTTATTTTATTTTTTTATATAAATGACTTAATAAAGAGAAAGTGTCAGATATCATTATTTATTATAAACTTTGCATAGGTAACCACAGCAAAATTTGAAATGCTTTCTTTGGTTTTTCTAATTCCATTGAAAAACACATATTTTCCACCTGAATATATAGAGAATTACATTAATACATAGAAGAAAGTAAAATCTCATGATAGATTAACAGACGCACCTATTCCAAAATTTCAGAAAGGAAAATAATGTTTTGGCACCAAAACCTTATGGTTATGAAGGGGCACTGAGCTAGGAATTGGAGAATTCTTTTCTCTTTATTCCTGGCATTTCTGAAAGACCCGTATTGACCCTGGGTGGGAGGTTCTTCCCTTTCTTTGAGCTCAGTCTTTCATGGAAAATTAAACTATAAAATTAAATGGCAAAACTTATCCTTTCCAGTCCAAATGTCCATAAGTTTATACATTATATAATAATTAAATCCACACTACTATTTTCCTCTGGACTCTGGCAAATGGACCTGTGTTAGTAATGCAGGTTCTTAGAGTTCAACACTGAATATTGACCTTGAAGAAGTGATTTATTCATTGCCCCTCAGGTACCCTAAAAAAGCCCTTTCCAAAAATTCTTTTACCATGGTCCCCCATAGGGAACAGTGTGATTTCTCATTTTTTCTCACAGTGTAAACATCTCTTGTGATGCTAATAGCCATGTCTGAAATGAATGCAATGATTCATTTTCAGAGATTCAAAACAGCAATTTCTCATACACTGTTGCTTTTTCTATGGTCTTTCTCTCTAGCCTTTCCAACAATTCTATCAGCTTGATGCCCATCCCTATGCTGCCTGGTATTATCCTCCACAAGTCACACAATATATTGCTTCTCCATCATTCTTCGACATCCCTAAACGCATTGCCTCTGAGAACAGTGGGAAAACAATTATGCCACAGTGGTGGTAAGTTCATTTAAATTACTGCATGCTGATGTTCTATCAAAGGAAATTAAAGAAAATTGCTTACAGAACATACCATAAAAACATTTAGAATAAACATGACACATCATGCTTAGTTCCCCGTACTAGAATTTTCTGAAATGGAAAATTGGTGATACTTTTTGGTATATGGTTAATGTTAATCTATTGCTCAGGAATATGTGGAACAGTGCTATCTATTCTATAAGTGAAATTCAGTCTGATGAAGGTAGGGGAAAAACTTCTCTCCAAAATAAAAATACAATAATTCAACTTTATCCTCCTTGCACTTTTACTAACCTTTAAATGCCTTTCTTTTGATTATACACATGATATACATTAGAAAGCAGTGCAGGGAATAAAGCACAGATTCTGGCATCCAGAAGTCCTAAATTCAAATCCTTATCTTTTCTGGTTACTTGAAATAATATAATGATGCTTGTTTTTATAACTCTGAAGGTGATTAAATATAATAATCTGTTAAGCATACTGCTGGGAGAATAAGTAGTGGTCATTTTTTTTTTTTTTAAACATCTTTATTGGGGTATAATTGCTTTACAATTGTGTGTTAGTTTCTGCTTTATAACAAAGTGAATCAGTTATACATATACATATGTTCCCATATGTCTTCCCTCTTGCGTCTCCCTCCCTCCCACTCTCCCTATCCCACCCCTCCAGGCTGTCACAAAGCACCAAGCTAATATCCCTGTGCCTTGCGGCTGCTTCCCACTAGCTATCTACCTTACTACGTTTGTTAGTGTGTATATGTCCATGACTCTCTCTCGCCCTGTCAAAGCTCACCCCTCCCCCTCCCCATATCCTCAAGTCCGTTCTCCAGTAGGTCTGCGTCTTTATTCCTGTCTTACCCCTAGGTTCTTCATGACATTTTTTTTCCCCTTAAATTCCATATATATGTGTTAGCATACGGTATTTGTCTTTTTCTTTCTGACTTACTTCACTCTGTATGACAGACTCTAGGTCTATCCATCTCATTACAAATAGCTCAATTTCATTTCTTTTTAAGGCTGAGTAATATTCCATTGTATATATGTGCCACATTTTCTTTATCCATTCATCCGATGATGGGCGCTTAGGTTGTTTCCATCTCCGGGCTATTGTAAATAGAGCTGCAATGAACATTTTGGTACATGACTCTTTTTGAATTTTGGTTTTCCCAGGGTATATGCCCAGTAGTGGGATTGCTGGGTCATATGGTAATTCTATTTGTAGTTTTTTAAGGAACCTCCATACTGTTCTCCATAGTGGCTGAACCAATTCACATTCCCACCAGCAGTGCAAGAGTGTTCCCTTTTCTCCACACCCTCTCCAGCATTTATTGTTTCTAGATTTTTTGATGATGGCCATTCTGACTGGTGTGAGATGATATCTCATTGTAGTTTTGATTTGCATTTCTCTAATGATTAATGATGTTGAGCATTCTTTCATGTGTTTGTTGGCATTCTGTATATCTTCTTTGGAGAAATGTCTATTTAGGTCTTCTGCCCATTTTTGGATTGGGTTGTTTGTTTTTTTGTTATTGAGCTGCATGAGCTGCTTGTAAATTTTGGAGATTAATCCTTTGTCAGTTGCTTCATTTGCAAATATTTTCTCCCATTCTGAGGGTTGTCTTTTGGTCTTGATTATGGTTTCCTTTGCTGTGCAAAAGCTTTGAAGTTTCATTAGGTCCCATTTGTTTATTTTTGTTTTTATTTCCATTACTCTAGGAGGTGGGTCAGAAAGGATCTTGCTGTGATTTATGTCATAGAGTGTTCTGCCTATGTTTTCCTCTAAGAGTTTGATAGTTTCTGGCCTTACATTTAGGTCTTTAATCCATTTTGAGCTTATTTTTGTGTATGGTGTTAGGGAGTGATCTAATCTCATACTTTTACATGTACCTGTCCAGTTTTCCCAGCACCATTTATTGAAGAGGCTGTCCTTTCTCCACTGTACATTCCTGCCACCTTTATCAAAGATAAGGTGTCCATATGTGCGTGGGTTTATCGCTGGGCTTTCTATCCTGTTCCATTGATCTATATTTCTGTTTTTGTGCCAGTACCATACTGTCTTGATTACTGTAGCTTTGTAGTATAGTCTGAAGTCAGGGAGCCTGATTCCTCCAGCTCCTTTTTTCGTTCTCAAGATTGCTTTGGCTATTCGGGGTCTTTTGTGTTTCCATACAAATTGTGAAATTTTTTGTTCTAGTTCTGTGAAAAATGCCAGTGGTAGTTTGATAGGGATTGCATTGAATCTGTAGATTGCTTTGGGTAGTAGAGTCATTTTCACAATGTTGATTCTTCCCATCCAAGAACATGGTATATCTCTCCATCTATTTGTATCATCTTTAATTTCTTTCATCAGTGTCTTATAATTTTCTGCATACAGGTCTTTCGTCTCCTTAGGTAGGTTTATTCCTAGATATTTTATTCTTTTTGTTGCAATGGTAAATGGGAGTGTTTTCTTGATTTCACTTTCAGATTTTTCATCATTAGTATATAGGAATGCCAGAGATTTCTGTGCATTAACTTTGTATCCTGCTACTTTACCAAATTCATTGATTAGCTCTAGTAGTTTTCTGGTAGCATCTTTAGGATTCTCTATGTATAGTATCATGTCATCTGCAAACAGTGACAGCTTTACTTCTTCTTTTCCGATTTGGATTCCTTTTATTTCCTTTTCTTCTCTGATTGCTGTGGCTAAAACTTCCAAAACTATGTTGAATAAGAGTGGTGAGAGTGGGCAACCTTGTCTTGTTCCTGATCTTAGTGGAAATGCTTTCAGTTTTTCACCATTGAGGATGATGTTTGCTGTGGGCTTGTCATATATGGCCTTTATTATGTTGAGGAAAGTTCCCTCTAGGCCTATTTTCTGCAGGGTTTTTAGCATAAATGGGTGTTGAATTTTGTCGAAAGCTTTCTCTGCATCTATTGAGATAATCATATGGTTTTTCTCCTTCAATTTGTTAATATGGTTTATCACATTGATAGATTTGCGTATATTGAAGAATCCTTGCATTCCTGGAATAAACCCCACTTGATCATGGTGTATGATCCTTTTAATGTGCTGTTGGATTCTGTTTGCTAGTATTTTGTTGAGGATTTTTGCATCTATGTTCATCAGTGATATTGGCCTGTAGTTTTCTTTCTTTGTGACATCCTTGTCTGGTTTTGGTATCAAGGTGATGGTGGCCTCGTAGAAGGAATTTGGGAGTGTTCCTCCCTCTGCTATATTTTGGAAGAGTTTGAGAAGGATAGGTGTTAGCTCTTCTCTAAACGTTTGATAGAATTCACCTGTGAAGCCATCTGGTCCTGGGCTTTTGTTTGTTGGAAGATTTTTAATGACAGTTTCAATTTCAGTGCTTGTGATTGGTCTGTTCATATTTTCTATTTCTTCCTGATTCAGTCTTGGCAGGTTGTGCATTTCTAAGAATTTGTCCATTTCTTCCAGATTGTCCATTTTATTGGCATAGAGTTGCTTGTAGTAATCTCTTATGAGTAGTGGTCATTTTTTGATTTAGAAAAATTGTATTGCCGACTACCTTCATCACATGATTTTAACAATTTTTGTCCCTTCAGAAGGATCAAGTGAATTCTCAGGAACTCCACAATTATGGTCTTTGGTAAGTTGGAAATTACTTGTCTAACCATTGATCCTCTTTTCATATGAGAACTCAGTACAAAGATATGACTGTATTCTACAAAGTTGTTTTTTTTTTCCTGTAGTCTAGCTGCATGAAGACACATTAGCAGTTAGAAAATAATTAAATTGCCTTGGACATTTGCAAATTTTTGTTTCATAATAATAATAAATTTAAATAGCAATAAAAATTAGCTAATTTGATTAATATAATTTATTACATTGAAACTCCTATACAAGTATAGGAGTGTTGATGTTATTAATTTTCCATCAAGACTCTGGTGAACCCAACAGTGGAATCCTATTCTTTATGATCACTGCAGTAGAAATCCTTAGCAAGTCACATAGTAAAACCAAGTGTTTGTCTGTCAAAGAAAACAGACTTAAATGTCTCCAGGTTTGTTTTAATTACTTTAATCCAGTGTATTGGAGTTTCTAATTGTGTGTATGTGTGTGTGTGCATGTGCGTGTGTGTGCATGTGTGTGCGTTTTCCCTTTCCAGTGGTGGAATCTTCCCTTACAACAGATCAAAATAAGGAAAATGATAAAAGTCTGACATATGTGCAAGCTTTTTCTTTGAATTACCTTGCCATATTTTCTGTTACTGCAAAGGAAAATGCTACCTAGTAATAAATTGTCTGTAAAACTTAAAAATCAGGAGCAATGGGTATGTACATCAGTAACAGGAAAGCACAGATAACTTTGTGAGCTTCATCTTAAGATGAAGAAAAAACAACTATTAAAATGTATCATATCATAACAGTGCCTCTTCCCTTCAAAACATGTGCCATAACTAACCACATATTTCTTTTTCTATTTACAGATGGGACTGAAAATTCCATGCTCTAAATTTCTTTCATCTATCATGTAAAACCATTCTATCCAAAGGCTTTGACTGCTATTTTAGAATAGGACAGTCCCAAACTGAAGGCACTCTTTCTTCTTGAGCTCTCTACTGTATATTAGATAGCATATCATCCTCAAGTGAAATTGTCCTAACAGTTTATTGTCTAAATTCCAGTTGTATCATGCCAGTATGAAAGCCACTGCGTCAGAGGGAATTAAAGTCTTTACTAAATTTCTGTATGGAAAATTTGTTTTAAAAGCCTTTGAATCACTTCTGCTGTAAGTGCCATCATTTCAAATAACTGTGTGCAGTGACTGAGATTTTTTTCTTTCTTCTTTTCAATAAATTACATTTTAAGGCACCATTCCTATTTTTTATCATTAATCCATTCAGCACAATTTACACAATCCTGTGAGTCTTTATGTATATAACATTTTGTTTCCACTGAACTTTTATGATACTTTCAATCACATTTTAATGAAAAAAATTGAGTGTTCACTTCTAGCTGA